TAAACAGTTCTTAAAGTCTTCTCTGCTGTGGAAACGGCTGGCTGGCTCCTTGGTGCTCTTGCCGGGGGGGCCTCAATCCATTGTCTTTTAATTAAAAATTTCCATGACATTTTTAAGGCTTCCTTGTACATATTAAACTGGTAATGCAGAGTGTTATAGGAGACTTTTACTTTTTACATTATATATATTTTTTATTTTCTTAAATGTTTTATTGTGAATTATGTGATAGTTTACATGGGAGAATATTAATTTTACATTCATTCTATCGTCTATCGTCTCATTGCCATGGTTACAATCCCCTCCATGCATCATCAGCTAACCAAAGGGTATACCCTGCATTCCTTCCCCCGTACCTCCCAGGTCTTCAGCACACAGTCGCTCTCCCTCTCTGGATCTAAAGTCTCCACCTGCTCCATCGCTCCACGTCATCATCTCTGCCTCCATTTCAGGCATCACTGCTTCTCTGGGTAGGGTCCCACTCTCTGCTCTTCTCCCTTGAATGGTCCTAGGGACCTCCTCTCCTAGACTGTAAAGTTAATCACTCCCCTCCTTGCTATAAAACGTCTACCTTTACATTTCCAACCCTCACAATCAGTCCTGATAACAATTATTCACTATTGTATCACAAGAGACCCACCTGCATTTCATTGCATCAGCCCTGCCTAGTCAGATTGAATACTACTCACTGGAGATTCTACCTTCCTCTAGGCCCTCTGGATCTAGGTTCCCTCTTGAAAGCTTGTAAGCCAGTCACTTCTTGCCTTTGTAGCCCCCCACCCCCCATTTTGGGTAGCCAATGTCCAAGTTGCCCATCCCTGTCTACTCTGTGTGTGGAGGGGGTGGGAATGATTCTTGCTGTAAGGACTTGTTCCCTCTTTTGAGCTACTGCTTCCATAGATGTAGGTCAAGTTCATCAAATTGTATGAGAATACTTTTTTTTTTTTTTCCCTCTTCTTTTTACTTCTGGTTGAGCTCTGATCATCCAGTCACTGAAGCCAGGACAAGTGGGTATTATCTGCAAATATTATATATTTTAGAAATTTTTGTTGAATAATAACTATGCATTACTTTTGAAAGGAAACAAGATAATTTTAAGTACTATACTAAATCATGGTAATTTGGGGTACTTCTGGTTTTAGCTAACAAATAATGAACATTCCTGTTTGATTGCTGATTTTGAGCTTATGTAGAACCCGAACACTTTATTAAAGTATAATTTTCCTTTTCACAGCTAGAGTTGGGAAGACATCACTGATAATGTCTCTGGTCAGTGAAGAATTTCCAGAAGAGGTAAATACTTGGTTTCTTCTTTATATTTAAAATAATTTTTTTTTAAAGTTAAAATGAAATTACTTGTTCTCTTTTTGTGTGTATCTGTTCTAATAGTTGTGACATCTCTGAAATACACTGTGGGAGAAAGAACTAAACTAGACTGTTGCTGTCAAGTCGATTGAGACCCATAGTGACCCTGTCGGGCAGAATAGAATTGCCCCATAGGGTTGCCGATGCTGTAATCTTAATATATCTAACGTTGAATAGCTGGTAGATTCAAACCGCTGACTTTGAGTTAGCAACTGAGTGCTTAAGCACTGCATCACCAGGGCTCCTGGAGTTCAAATGAGTTCTTTGCATTTTCTACTTCTGACCTTGGCTAGGGCATTTGCCGTCTCTATGCCTTAGTCAGCTGTAAGATGAAAAGTAAACTAGGTGGTGGTGTTGCTGAGAGCCATTGAGTTGGTTCTGACTCAGCAGCTGGTGGGTTTGAACTGTGACATTGTGGTTTGCAGTCCAGTGCTTATTCTACAGCACCACACCAGGATTCCAAAACAAGATGTTAGAGATCATCTAAACCATGCAACACTTTCTTAAAATTAAAATATTACTCATAAGCCCAATATATAAAATAGATGAGTGTTCCTTCAGTTGGAATTAGAGTGACAGATCTGGGTCCCCACTTGAACTACCTAACACTTCCTATTTCTTTGAGCTATTTCCTCAGAACCAGTAGAATTCTGATAAGCCTGTTTGAAAACCATTAGTATTATGCTTGCCTCATTTTACAAATCAAGGAGCCAATTTCATTCCAGGTTTATGTTCCTTAAAGGATTGTTGTGCTTTTCAAATGAGAGGAGCTTAATAATTATAATAATGTGAAAGTGCCACTGAAGCTAAGGTAACTTTATTATTATTGGCAATATATGCAATTATATTTTATGAGTTCCAGTACAAGGACTGCTAGCTAAGACCTTATGTAAAGTTATACATATATCCTCTATAAAGTATACAGGAATGGGATTGATGCAAATGGAATGAAAATGATTTATATTTATTTTCTTGACTCACATAGTAGGTATTAGTTGGGTCACAGTTTGCAGTTATCCTTCCTTTACTCTTATTTTAAGGCGTGCTGTTGGTGTGGTAGGTTAAGTGTTGGACTGCCAACCACAGAGTTGGCAGTTCAAAGCCACCAGCTTCCATGTGGGAGAAAGATAAGACTGTTTGCGGTCTTGGCAAAGAACTTTATGCAATGATTAAAGGGTTCAATAAACAGGAGGATATAACCATAATTAATATCTATGCCTTAGAATACATAAATCAAAATCTTAACAGGATTGAAGAGATGAATAGACAACTCTACAGTAATAGTCATAGTTAAGTGCTGTCAAGTCATTTCTGATTCTTAGCTATCCCATATAGGGTTTCTGAGGAGTGGCTGGTTGGTTTGAACCTCTGCCCTTGTGGTTATCTTACAGTGCTACACCAGGAGATTTTAATATACCACATTCTGAGAAAGACAGAACAAATAGAAAGAAACTCAGCCAAAACAAAAGAACTAAACATCACAATCAGCCAACTTGATCTCATAAGTATGTATACAACTCTATACCCAACAACAGTACAATATCTGTTCTTTTCCAGTGTACCTGAAACAATTTATAAAATAGACCATATGTTAGGCCACAGAGCATGCCTCAATAAATTTCAAAACATACAAAAACTACATAGCATCTTTTCAGATCACAGTGCTATAAAATTACAAATTAACAATATGAAGATCAAGGGGAAAAAAATATGTGAAATTGAATAATATCCTGTTTGGAAACTACTGGGTAATAGAAGAAGAAGAAGAAAAAATCTCTTTGAGTCAGAGAATGAAAACAAATCATACCAAAGCCTCTGAGACACTGCTAAAGCAGTGCTCAGATGACAATCTATAGCAATAAATATACACAGATAAAAAGATGAAAGACCCAAAATTAATGCCTTAACCCAACATCTCCAACAGTTAGAAAAAGAGCAGTAGAATAACATTACAGTCACCAGAAGAAAAGCAAATAAATGAAACAGAAAAACAATAGAAAGAATTCACAAGACAAGAAGTTGGTTATGTGGAAGGATTAATAAAACCAACAAACCACTGGCAAATCTATCAGACTAAAACGGAAGATGCAAATTACATGAATAAATTAAATGGGTGACATCACAACAGAGCCAACAAAAATACAAGGGTGAGTCAAAAATTGTCCATACTCCAGTTATATTAAAACTCTCGTCCATGTCTGCAAGTGGTGACAACATTGAGCGTGCACGTGAAATGATTCTGTCACATAGATGAGTGACAGTGGATTATGTGGTAAATCATTTGTAAATCAGCCATGGCTCTGTTTATGAGATAATCTACAACAGACTTGGGTTTTGATAAGTTTGTGTGAGATGGGTACTGAAACAACTCATGGGAGCATACACAGAAGTGTTTGGACACCTGCAAACAAAATTTGGATCAATACTCAAAGGAAGGTAAAAGTTTCCTTAAAAAAAATCTTTACTGGTAATGAGACATGGATCCATCACCAGGAGCCTGAGAGTAAACAGCAGAGTATGGAATGGAAACATCCTCGTTGACAACCAAGAAAAAGTAAAAAGTCAACCATCAGCTGGAAAATTGATGCATACAGTTTTCTGGGATTCTTAAGGGCCAGTATGGGAACACTATCAGGAAAAAGGTTCAGCAATCAACAGTGCTTGTTATAGTGAGATGCTCACTGGAGAGCTGAAGCCTAAACTTGGGATTAAAAGCAAAGGACTGCTACCCAAGGGTCTTGAGATCTTGCATGACAGTGCATATCCCACACCTCTGCCCACACTGTTGACACTCTGCAGTAACTTTGTTTTGAGGTGTTAAAGCATCCTTCCTATAGTTCTGATCTTACTCCATCAGACTTTTATCTAATTGGTTATTTGGTCCCCTAAAGCAGGCCAGAAGAGTCACCTCTGATGAAGAAGTAAAGACAGCTGTGCATTCATAGTTCACAGCTCAGCCTAAAACATTTATTAAATAAGGGAATACAAAAGATTGTTGACAGATGGACAGTGTATGGAGATTATATAGAAAAATGATGTATTTGTCTAACAGTTGATTAAAATAAATTCTAGCGCCAGAGTGTAGATAATTTTTGACTTACCCTCATATAAAGATCATCAATGGAAAAATAGGAACAAACTTAGGAGCTCTAATACATGGCATACATATACTATCAAATATTGCAAAAAACACACTAGCAATAGAAAACAAAATAGATGACTGGGACTTACTAAAAATTAGAAACTTTTGTGCATCAAAAGATTTCACCAAAAGAGTTAAAACAACAACCAAAAAAAAAAAAAAAAGCCCTTAAAACAGAAAGCAAATGCTGAGGATGTGGAAAGACTGGAACACTCATGCTGGTAAGACTAAAATGGTACAGCCTCTGTACTATATGACCTAGAGAAATAGAGCAGTCAATGACAGATAAATGCACATGCATGTTCTTCACAATGCCATGCACGATAGCAAAAAGATAGAAGCTACCTCAATGCCCATAGTGCAAGAATGGATTAATAAACTGTGGGAAATACCTGCAATGGAATACTACCAATGTTAATGAATAATGATGATTCTGTGGAGTGTCTCGTAATATGGATCAACCTGGAGGACATTACACTGAGTGAAATGAGTTACAAAAGGGCACATGCTGTATGAGATCACTACTGTAAAAAATTAAGTAAAGGTGTTCACACTAAACAGCATTCTTTGTTGGTTACCAGGGGTGGGAGAGAAGGGGGCGGGGAAGGGGCCAGTTAAGTCAAAACAAAACAAAACAAAACTGCAGTCTCAGAAACTCTAGATCAGTTCTAGTCTGTCCTGTAGGGTCACTGTGAAGTGGAATCAGGTCATGGCGGTGGGTGGTGTTTGCTTGTTTGTTTTCTGGTTTATTTAGATAGGAATATCTGTAGTTTTATTGTTCAGATAGTAAGTTGATATGTGGTATGTTAGTGTTTTCAGCATTCACAACTGTTTCTCTGGCTTTTTTCAACATTTTCAACCACTTAGTTTTTCTCTGAAGTCCTGGGATAGCACTGTAATTTATAATCATTGTAAGTGTAACATGGAAAAGTTTTTTGTTCTAGTTTAACTTAGTTTAGAATTGCTTTAGAATCATCCTTTTGGGTTTGGATAAGGGGTTTCTACTTGATGGAAAAACCATACAGTCTTTCTAAAAATATTTAAATAACTGAGCATAAGGTTTATGTAGCCAATTAATTATCTTCTAGAAGAAATGGTTCATTTGTGAATTGTCTTGGATTAATATAACTCCTCATTTACAAAGTATCTTTAAGTTGTCTCAAGCCTTCATCACTTAATATTTGAAACCACAGACTAATTCAAGTATTAATTTAGGCTGTGTCAGATCTGGCGTATCCTTAGTATACCTCATGTCTGCACATGTGGAAATGTGCATGGTTTTTTCAAAGGGCGTTTTTATCATTTACTTTTAATGCATATTTGCTTCTGGGGTAAAGCATACAAATAAGTGTTTAAAAGTTCAGCAAATATCTATAAGGATATTGTTATGTTTAAGTGATGTCGAGTCAGTTCCGACTCATAGCGAACCTATATAGGGTTTCTGAGGAGTGACTGGCAGGTTTTAATTACTGACATTGCGGTCCAGTGCCACACCAGGCCGCCACCTATAACGATAGGTATAGGTAAAAGGGACTAATATAAATAAATGTATATAATCTGTTAATAAGCATGATAATATCCAAATTTATTCGCAAATTAAGGTTCCTCCCCGAGCAGAAGAAATCACCATTCCAGCTGATGTCACTCCCGAGAGAGTTCCAACACACATTGTAGATTACTCAGGTAATGATTTTTCTCTTGTAGGTGAAATTGTAGGGTTAATTGAATAGTCCTCAGAAAGGTACAGAGCTTTAAAAATGTTTTGAAGGGTGATGCTTTCTCTATCAATTATTTATTGTTCTTGTCTCATTTACATCTCCTGGCCACTTCCTCACCCCACCCCAAACCTCCCTCTGGCAGTTCTCTGTCTCCAAATTACTAAATTGGTTTCCATAATAATGAAAAAGAAGAAGGAATGATAAATAACCCATAGCAACCCTGTATAAGGTTTCAGAGAATCGGCTGGTGAGCTTGAACTGCTGACTTTGCAGTCCAGTGCATTAACCCACAGCATGACACTAGGACTCCTTGATAAATGACTTGTTAAGTGCCTTGGAGTTGATTTCGACCCTTAGCAGCCCTGTATAGGGTTTCCAAGGAGCAGCTGGTGAGCTTGAACCACCAACCTTGCAGTTCAAACGACTTTGCAGTCTGCCGCATTAGCAGTAGATAAATCCTTGTTGCTGCTGTTTCTGCCATAGAGTTGGTCCCTTTTCATCCCCTTGCCATCAAGTCTATTCTGACTTATAGCAACCCCATGCAACAGAGTAGAACTACCCCATTTGGTTTTTCAGGCTGTGATCTTTATGGGAGCAGGTCACCAGGTATTTTATCTTTCTGAGTCACAGGTGGGTTTGAACCACCCACCTTTTGGTTAGCAGCTGAGCAGCTTAACCATTTGCGCCACCAGAGCAGCTACCTAGTTATTGCTGACATTGTTAAGTGCCAACTCTGCGACCTGTTCCTATTCATAGTGACCCTGTGTAGGGCTTTCAAGGAGCCGACTTTGCAGTTCAAACTGACATTGCAGTTGAGTGCTTATCCTTACACAGCCACACCAGAACTCCATCGCTCTTCTTAATTTAGTAGGTTTGCAAAGAGAAGTTCATAGTCAATTTTGTGATCAGGCAGGTTGTTATGATTTAGAAAGAGCTCTGCATTTGCAGATTTATTGAGTTCTAAATTGGTTATCAGCTTGTGTCCCAAATGAAGTCATAGTTACAGCTGTTGTCAGCTTGGAGTCCTGGTGTGGCGCTGTAAGTTAAAGCGCTAGACTGCCGCAGGGTTGGCAGTTCAGGCTTACCAGCTGCTCCTTGGAAACCCTGTACAGGGTCACTATGAGTAGTAACTGACTCATCAGCATTTAACAACAACAAAAGAATTGCTTCTTTGTTAGCTTGTGTCCCAAATGAAATAATAGAATAGTTGTCAGGTCCTTTACCTTTAAATAGGATCAGAAGCACTTTCATAATTTAAAAAATTTCTACTTGTTTAATTATTTTGCATTGTCCTGACATTTCTCCTTTAAAAACATGGGTATAAATACATGGTAATACCCATGTTTTTCTAAGAATATTCCACATATTCTGAGAAAGAAATAGAACTATTTCTACTACATGTAACTATTGAATACGTGAAATGTGGCAGATGTCAACTGAGTGCGCTCTAAGTGTAAAATATGATGACAGTATGAAAAAAATAATTTAAATTACCTCAATTTTTTACTGAATGCATGTTGAAATCACAATATTTTTGATATTTTTGGTTAAATAAAAATTGATTTTACTTGTTTCTTTTTACATTTCCAAGGCAACTCTTAAAAAATATAGTTATATATGTAGCTCACATTATGTTCCTACTGAATAGCACTATATGAAGGAAGGGCTTTTCAAATGTTCATGGAAGATTTTTATTATCTTTTAATTCAATTTTACCATGAACTTTGAAAGTCCCCTCCCCCCCGCCACTAGAAGTTGAAGGAGTTGGATACCTTTTGCTAAAGTCAGTCTCATAACTAGCATAATTTATAGAATTATTGTTCAGTACCTGCATCCACATGATCTGGAAAGGTATTAAAAATACAGTTAATCATTTAGCATAATATAACATATCATAGAACTAATTTATTATATTAGTTTATATGTTAGAAATGACATTTTTTAAAGAGACTTACTAGACCCAAAATGATCGAAATTAATAAATTAGTATGTTAGTAATTGCTTTTCATTTCTTTGCTTCCTCATTTTAGTTGTATCATGAATATTCCCTGCACCTGTTGATGTACAAGGAACCCTGGTGGTGTAGTAGTAGGCTAAGCATGGGGCAGCTAACTGCAGGGTCGGCGGTTCAAACCCACCATCTTCTCCTTGGGAGACAGATAGGCTGTCCGTTCCCTACAAAGATTTATATGGTCTTAGAAACTCAATGGAGCAGTTCTACTCGGTCCTAGAGTCTGTGGGTCTGTATGAGTCGCAGTTGGCTCAACGGCAATGAGTTTTGTTTTTTGGTGGGTGTACAGACAACATGCATCTTTTGAGACCACTTCTAGCTAGGGATATGTGCTAGAAAGAGAGTTTTTGATTCCTTATTGTCATGCTCAAGTTTTGCTCCTGGAGTCTGGTTGATATTACTCATAGCTGCTTTCTATTGCCCAAATTCCCACCTGACCTTTTGACTCTGTGTGTACAGTACAAATTCTTTGTCTGGACTTGTAACTCCAGCACCCCATCTCTAGCTTGAGTCCCTTTTCTCTTCTGCTTGGTCTTTATCAGCTCAAGCCTAGATTCATCACACATTGCCTCTGCTCATCCTTGCCTGAATAATCCTCTTGAAGACTTGTCTTCTATTACCAGCCAGCTTCCATGTCATACTTCAGCTTCTTTACTTCCTTGCTCTTATCTTTGCCTCTAGTCACACATGGCACTTTATCATTTTGAAGGATGTTAAGTGGGTGTCGCATAGATTTTAGGTTGGCCGGTAGTTTGTATGAAAATGTTTAAGTAAGAAACATTGGGTTTTTCATTTCCATGAAAATAAATACTTATGTTTTTGTAATTTGTAGAAGCAGAACAGAGTGATGAACAACTTCATCAAGAAATATCACAGGTGAATTTATTGTATAATATTTGATTTATTTTTTTTTTTGGTGGGAAAACAGTAATAATTCTATGTTGTTGTTGTTGTTGTTAAGTGCCATCGAGTCGGGTCCGACCCATAGCGACCCTGTACAGGGTTTCCGAGGGTGTAAATCTTTACGGGAGTAGAAAGCCTCATCTTTCTCCCGCGGAGCGACTGGTAGTTTCGAACCGCTGACCTTAAGGTTCGCAGCCCGATTCGTAACCACTACGCTACCAGAGCTCCTTATGGGCCTACTATTTTTACTCTCATATACCAAGAAGACTTTTTCAATTCTTTGCTGTTACCACTGACTTTGAGTATGTAAATCTGTCTTTTCAGAGTTAAGCTAAGTTTTCTTCCTGTTTACCAATTTTGTTCTTCATTTTCTTTTGGCCCAAATATATCAGCTACTTGGTAATACTACTGTTTACATTTGTTCATTTTTTTCTTAGGCTAATGTTATCTGCATAGTTTATGCTGTTAACAACAAGCATTCTATTGATAAGGTAGGAATATACAAACTTCTTTTACCATATTAAGTTTCAAGGAGAGCACTTTAAAAATTGATCTACATGGTTTTAGGTGTGTTATTTGCATGTTAGAGGGTAGACACATGTTAACATGGGTGACAGGGCAGGCAATATACAAGGGGGAGGTTAGCAGAAGAAAGATGAAGGTAGCGGGAGACTAGGGAGAAATGCAATAGTTAAAGTGAATAAAGTTAAAATATTAACTGTTGGTACATAGAGGGGATTGCAACCATGTAATGAAGCAAAGTATATGATTTGTTGAATGTAAAACTGATGATTTGCTCTGTAAACCTTGACTCAATTCACAATAAAAAGTTTGGGGAAAAAATGTTAAAAAAAAAACAAAACCACAATGATTTAGCTTTAAACAAAACAAAACAAAAAATTCTAGTTTAGAATTTTAAGGAGTCCAAGGGCAGAATGGTTTTTCAACGAAGGTTCCCATCATGTCTTAGATCTTGCTAATTTTTTTAATTTTAGGTAACAAGTCGGTGGATTCCTCTCATCAATGAAAGAACAGACAAAGATAGCAGGTATATTGAAAAATTTCATACTCTCAGAAAAGATGCAAGAAATAGTACAGTGAACATCCTCAAACTCTGTGCATAGATTCACCAGTTAACATATTGTCATAATTGCTTTATTATCTGTTTGCATACACACCACGCTTTTCTGCTGAATCATTTGAGATGGCAGATACATGTGAGAACAAAGCAGGATAGAATGCTGATGCTATAGTGATTTATAACTTCAGACAAATATTTTGAGAATTAATTTTACATTTTCCTTTAAAGAATAGATGCTGCTTTGAAAACTCTCAGCTCTGGAATGCATCTTCCACTTGTATTGTGTGTGACTCTTATCTGGAGAAGCCCCTCTGCTGAGGAATGGTATTCTCTATTGTTGTTGAATGCTCAGAGTATGGTATTTTTAAGAGCACAAAACTCAGAAGCAATTGAATGACCTTTGAAATCTGACTTGGCCACTTCAGAGCCCTAGTACTTTGATTTTATTGAACATTGGTTTCCTGATCTGCAAGATACGATGATGCTAATACACATCTTGGTGTTATCAGTCATTATTTTGAGAATCAAATGAAATAATGTAAGCACTATGTACATTCTAGAGAATACTCTTCAATGAGAAATTCATATGGGAAGATTTCCTTGGAGGATACATATATGAAGAAGCAAAAGAATGCACATTACCTATTTTATCTGAGCAGAATGGTACTTCTAGGCATAAAAGTTTTGAGTTTGAAACAAAATGGAAACAAAACCTTTTTCAACAATATTTAATAGAGCATAAGTTATTTATGAAACATTTGACTCTTTTACATGTTAGGAAAAATCAGACTTCTATATATTTACATATTCATCTTTTCCTCAATTTCTTAGATTTCTTTTTTAGTTCAGTAGTTCCATGCCTTGAAACTTGAAAGATCTGGTTCTAAACAGATGAGCATGGTTATTGACCTTTTATCTAGCGTGTTTATGGAGGGTTACTTTGTGACTGAGATGCTGGTATGTACACTATGTTTTGACACAGCAGAGGCCACCATTATCATGATTTTGACTGTTGTAGTGACATACTGACAAGACCTACACTATTAGTGCATTAGTCTGTAGTTAACTGTGGCCATTTAATGCAAAAATTCAGTTCTTTGGCATACTTAGCCACATTTCACATGCTCAGTAGGTACATGTGACTAATAGTTACTGTAATGGGCAGTGCATATAAAGAACATTTCCATCATCACAGAAGATTGTGTTTGAACAGGGCTATGGTGGAGCAGCCAACATCCATATACTTATAACACCTGCTTTTCTTGACGATGACTTGAGCTATTTCCTGGAGGCAGTTCTTCACATAAGACCAGTTCTGCCAGGATCTATTAAGCATCACTTGGACTGCTGAATTCAGATCTATTAAGCACCAGTGTGAACTAATTCATTCACTTTTGTTTTGCTTTACCAAAATTTGCTTTATTCTAAAATGCTGTAGCTAGTTTATGGCCCTTTAGTGAAAGTGACTTTTGACACTTGAAGATCTAATTTAACATTCTCAGGTGTAACTGTGTCCTACAGTCATGTATAGGCTTGTCCTTGAGTCACATGAGCATCCTCATTCTTGGGATGGACTTGTCCCAGGGACTGCTAACCACATCGGCAGTTCAGACCCACCAGCTGCTCCCTGGAAGCCCTATTTCTTTATTTAATGGACCTCACAGCTTCCAATACCTTATTCCCTAGACCTCATACCTTAAATTTACTTTCATATATTGGGTATGGGGTCCTGTTGTGGTGCTGTATTATAAGCACTGGACTGCTAATCACAAGGTTGGTAGTTCAAACTCACCAGCTGCTCCTCAGAAACCCTATACAGGAAACCCTTAAACCCTCAGTGGCACTTAGCAACAATCTATTGAATATTGATGTTTGTTTATGATTATTTATTATTGAATGTTTATATAATCTTCCTGATGACTTCCTTGCATCATTGTAATAGTGGTACCTACTCACGGGTGCCCATCACTGTCACCTGAGACACTTTAAAAAAATTATAGACTCCTATCCCTGAAGTTTTAGGGTCAGTAAGTTTGGAGTAGGGTTTGAATGTATATTATATTTTTAAGCTCTGTAAATTATTCTGATGCAGACTTTTGGTTAAAAAACTCCAATTTTGGAAACCCTGGTTCTGTTAGGAATCTTTGAGTTGCATAAGTGGGTCAGTAATGACATACAAGGGGTAAGCTGTATTTAATGCTTGCAATTATTTCTGTGGAAACTTTGAATTCCATCAAGATCATTTGCTTTGCCTCCATGCTCTCCTGCAGGACTCACAAATAACAGTTATCTAGGCTAGTCCTGGGAGTCCTGGTGTGGGGCTGTAGGATAAGGACTGGCAGTTCAGACCCACCAGCTGCTCCCTGAAAGCCCTCTACAGGGTTGCTGTGAGTCAGAACCAACTTGACAGCACTTACTAACAACAGGCTGGTCCTACTTGATATCTCCACTTAAATGTCTAATAGACCTCTCAGATATAACTTGTCTAAAACAAAATCCTTAGTTCCCTGATGCCAGCCCCACCCAAAATTATGTCTTCTCTGTCTCAGGAGGTTTGTCCATTTTCTCTAGCCAAAAGCCTATGTATTGTTCTTGATTTCTGCCTTTTTCTTGCTCTTCATGTCTAATCTGTCAGCAGGTTCTGTGAGTTCTACTTGTAAAATTGATCTCACTTCTGAATACCTCCTCTCCATCTTTTCTGCCAGTTCCCTGGCCAAAGCTACTACATTTACAAAACTGTGTGTTATTGGGGAAAAAAGCAAACATACACAGAATTAGAGAGAATAATGTGATAAGTTCCTGTGATTCTGTCATGTAGCTTTAACCATGAGGCAACTTCAAAAAGTTCGTGGAAAAATCCCAGTATCTTTCCATTCCTTTTTTTTTTTAATGTCTTATTATGAATTCTATGATAGTTTACATGGGAGAACTTTAGTTTTACATTCATTCCATCCTATATCATCTCATTGCCATGGTTCCAATCCCCTCCATGCATCATCAACCACCCAAAGGGTATATCCCAGAAACCCGCCCCCTACACTTCCCCCTCCTCCCCCCAGTTTTCGGCCCACAGTCCCTTTCCCTCTCTGGATCCAAAGTCCCCAGCCACTTCATTACTCCACGTCATTGTCTCTGTCTCTATCTCAGGCATCTCTGTTTCTCTGGGTAGGGTCCCGCTCTCGGCTCTTCTCCGTTGATGGTCCCAGAGACCTCCACTCCTATCCTGGAGAATTAATCACTCCCTTCCTTGTTACAAAACTTCCACCTTTGCATTTCCAACCCTCATATCCGTCCTGATAAGCATTATTCACTACAGTATCACGAGTTACCCATCTGTATCTCCTTTCATCAGCTCTGCCCAGACAGATTGAATAGTACCTACTGGAGAGTCTGCCTTCCGCCATGCTCCCTAGCACCAGGTTCCCTCTTGAAAGCTTGTAAGCCAGTCACTTCTTGCCTTTCTAGTCCCACCCCCCCTCCCCATTTGAGTATCCAATGTCCAAGCTGCCCTTCTCCATCCACTCTGTGTATGTGGGGGTGTGTGACTGTTTCTTGCTATGAGGTTTTGTGCCCTCTTTTGAGTCGCTGCTCCATAGGCATAGGTTTCCATTCCTTTTTGCCTTGAACTTTTAGACGCCCCCTCAAACAATCAAGTCATAGTCAGTCTTATTTACTACCCCTCTCATTGGAATCATTTTGATGCAAAGTGAGATATATCAGGATGTATAAGTACTTAAGTATGTATCTTAAAGATAGCAGATTGCTTCGTTTTTAAATGACAAGCAGATCATACCACTTTCTTTCTTGTAACTGTTCTATTTTTTCCTGTTTGCACTTGAAATAGAACCCGTACTCTGCACCATGACCCATAAAGCCTCTCATTAACACCATTCTGTACATCATCTCAGCTCAAGAAGCTCTGGTAATACAGTGGTTAAATGCTAAGCTTCTAAATGATAGGTCAGCGATTTGCACCCACCAGCCACTACATGGAAGAAAGATGTGGCAGTCTGCGTCTATAAAGATGACAGCTTTGGAAACCCTTGGGGGGAGTTCTGTTCTGTCCTGTAGGGAGTCAGAATCCACTCCACAGCAATGGGTCTGGAGTTTTTTGTTTCTCCTTTGCTCGGTTCTCTCCAGTTACTCTGGCATTTTCCTGTTTTTTGAACTTACCAGGAATTTTTCATCTTGGGGCCTTTTTGCAGCTTGTCCTTTCCTGTCCAGCAAGTGCTTCCCTGGCTCTTCACATGACAAAGATTCCATCTCAGCCTTCACTTCTTTGCTCAAATGCCACCTCTTAGGTTTCCCCCTGATTGTCATATCTAAATTAGTCCCTCCTGTTACGCTAGCTCATAGCCCCCTATTTATTTCCTTCATAGCACTTATGGAATTTAAGATTGTCTTAATCATTTATTGTTCATTTTCAGGTTTTCTTGATTAGAACAGGCAGGGACCTCATCTGTCTTGGGTACTGAACACTTAGAACAGTACATGGCATATAATAGGTACTCAGTAAATATGCCGTTTAGGGGATTTGTCTTGTTCGTGGAGGGTTCATTTTGGGGAGATTGTATAAGAGCTTTTAAAATTAGAATGGGTTGTGATGTAAACTAAAATGTAAATCTAAGCTATTTTATCTTCCTTATTACATACACTGTGCCCATTTGTTTCAGGCTACCTTTGATACTGGTTGGAAACAAATCTGATCTGGTGGAATATAGTAGTATGGAGACCATTCTTCCTATTATGAACCAGTACACAGAAATAGAAACTTGTGTGGAGGTATGTCTCAGTACTTGATTTGGAAATTCACTATTGGTGCAATCTCACTTAGTTGAGGTTTGGGATGGGAAGGTGTGGGATAGAGTATATTTTTTATTTTCTTGTGAAGTCATATAAACCAAGTAAAATACAGAATCTGAAGTAAACCTTTGAGCTCTTTGTAGGCGTCCATATTATGACAACCACAAAGAAAAATAATGCGTGTTTCAGTGTCTTCACTGAATATTAGTGCTACCTTATGTACTGATGGCTTTAAAATTGTTTTTCACTTTTTTAGTTGGTTGCTCATTGTAAAAATGTAAACTTTTTTTTTCAGTGTTCAGCAAAAAACTTGAAGAACATATCAGAGCTCTTTTATTATGCACAGAAAGCTGTTCTTCATCCTACAGGGCCCTTATACTGCCCAGAGGAGAAGGAGGTAACCCCCAAGCTGTGTTTGTAGGGACTGGAATGTGTAGGTAGAACTCTTAGTATGGTTGTGATTTTTAGTAACTCTTCATTGTATTTGTGAAAATGGGATTGCTGAAACTTACGTGATTTTTATATTGTTACATTTAAAGATTCTTTTCTGCAAAGACATGGTGATAAAAGTGCTCATCAGAATAGTATTCCACCAAATGCTATCAGTAGATACCATTAAAAAAAGAAAATTTTCAAGAATAACAACAAAAGAAGTAAATTTGTTGCTGGTCTACTTGCTTTGATGCTGTAAAATCCACAGACTTAAAAACACATAGAAGTCCTGGTGTGATGCTCTAGGATAATCACTGAACTGCTAACCACAAGGTTGGTGGTTCAAACTCACCAGCTGCTCTTTGGGACAAAGACGAAACTCTGCTACTGTAAAGATATATAGTCATGGAAACCTTAATGAGCAGTTCTACTTTGTGCTTTAAGATTTCTTTAAGTTGGAATCAACTTGGTGTCAGTAGGTTTGGGTTCCAATTCAGCCAAGTGCTGTATTTTATGACATAGGAAAATGGAGAAACAGTCTTTATCTCATACTAGTTGTATTTACCTTTTAGACTTAGCCCAGCTGTATATTAAATCTCCTTTATTAGTTTGCTCTCAATTCTTGCGTTACTACTCTTTTTCTCACACCTCTTATTTCTTTTACTAATCTCTCCTCCTGACCCCCAGTCTCGCAAGAGTAGAATGTCTACTGCCATCTGTTATTTATTTCTTAAGTGGATCTTCATAGGTAAAATCTGCAACTTTTACAGACTACCTTGTTCTACACAAATGCAAGCTTTATGTCTAAGTTTGTTATCAGAATTTTTTCCTTACACAGCAGTAATAAGCTTTTGGTACAGATTTAAGGTTGTTGTTGTTGTTAAAGAGCCGTTGAGTCAGTTCCAACCCATAGCGACCCTGTATAGGGCTTCCACGGAGTGACTGGTGAGCTTGAACTGCTGACCTTGTAGTTCAAACTGACTTTGCAGTCCAGTGCATTAACCCCCAGTGATATACCAGGGCAGAATCATCAAAACCATCAAATTCAGAATTAAAGCTGAGCTGTAGGTGCTGCTAATTTGTAGGTCTCATTACAAACTACTGGAGTTTTCTGCTAAATAATGAAAAGTCTATGGTTTTTGTGTAATAATGTTACTGTGTGAGGGTTTGTTGTTGTTTAAAAACTTAAAAGTGCCCATAGTGACCCTGTGTAGGGTTTCTGCTGACCTTGCAGTTCAAACTGACTTAGATGTTGAGTGCTTATCCTACAGTGCCACAGATTACTCATATGTAAATTGTGTTTGGTATAAGTTTGATACTTTTAAAAGTAGTCATTTTTTTATGTTATATTTTATGGTGATGAGTACTTAAATAACTCATCGAGCTAGCCCTTGAAATACCATAGCTTCTGAATGCATTTCAGCCTTTAATGAAAAACGCATCTTTGTTATTTTTTTCCAAAAAAAATTTTTAATGTAGTTTTGTATGATGTGAGGAAAAGCCACTTGCACAGTGAAATGTACAAAGTTATTTTTATATTCTGTTTTATGCATCATTATGTTGTTGTTGTTGTTGTTGTTAAGTACCGTGGAGTCGGTTTCAACTCATAGTGACCCTGCACAGGGTTTCCAAGGCTGTAAATCTTTACGGGAGCAGAACACCTCAGCTTTCTCCCAAGGAACTGCTGATAGTTTCAAACTGCTGACCTTGAGGTTGGCAGCCCTACTTGTAACCACTTCGCTACCAGAGCTCCTTGTACATCATTATAAGTATTGCCAATTTTTTGAAACACTTAGTTTATTGGTGTGGTGTTGTAGGATAAGCATTGGACTGCTAACCACAAGGCTGGTGGTTTAAACCCATCAACCACTCCTCAGGAACCCTATGCAAGTGTTACTGTGAGTCAGAACCAACTTGATAGCACTTAACAACATCATGTTTTTTAAAGGAGAGTACATAAAATATAGCAATGTAATTTTTATTAATGTTGAATGTCTAATATTAGTATAACATTTTTAGAAGCAATAGCTTAACATTCTTTACTTTTTTAAAAGTAAACCACCTTGATTATTTAAATTTTAGGTTTTATTCCATTTAGTACTCTTTCATGAAGTGAACTTTGTTCATTGCACTCTAAATGTTTCATTTTGGCTTTTTTTCTTATTTATTCATAATCCTTTTCTATCTTAATTTTATCTTTTTCTTTCTATATCAAATCGCTGCCCTAGAGACCCTACTTAGTATAAAAAAGGGGATTGCCTGTATATGTTTGGAAAACAGTAGTTTCTCTCCTATTCTTTAGTACTTTTTCTTTCTGAGTTTGCTGGCATGATGGAAACTCTAGTCAGTGTGATTTTGCTCTCAGTAGTGGTGTCTAGCATAGCTCATAGGACACATTTCCTGTGTCTCTGGTGTAGATGGCTTCATTATATCTTGTCCTCTGAGTTCACACAAAGTTCAGCGATCTTCCTGAAAGTTTTATTTTACTCTCAAATGTTGACAGCGATGATTTTAGATCAGTTATATAAAGTAGAGGAATGTGAGCCTTGTTTGGAGATAGCCAAAATATATTCTATCCATTATGAATTCTAAAACAAAAATTGAGAAGGCTGTCAAAATATATTTTCAGCAGCATAACTTAGAAAAGTTTTACAGAATCACAAAAGGCAAGTTATTTACTTACTTATTTTTTTACGTATTTATTTTTAAGGTAAGCAATCTAACAGGAAAAGGCTTTCACACTTCTTAACTAGTGTTATTTTCACTTGTTTCTGAATTAAGCATATTGTGTCGTGTCGTCATACTTTGACATATGTATACAAGGAACAGGAAACATACATAGTTCCATCCTGCTACTGAGGTTGATGGTCAGAAATCAGAACTTAAGAAGAAAGTAGTCTTTGGAGCCAGATCAGATTCTCTCTGTATTACGGGGACGGCATACACAAATGAGTGCCACTTCTTAACATGATTTCAGTCTCCCTACACATGAATTTCCTTGTATCCCATCCTGGGTGGGGGCGTTGATGGAGTCACGAAGGAAGAGCTTGACCATTCTGAATATGCTTGCAAGTAACTATTGCCATGTTTACTTAAAAAGACATTTTCATATTGGTTGTATATGATGCCATGTATTTGGCAGTGAAAACCATCAGAAATGATTCCCAGTATTACTTACAGAAATCCTGGAAAGTCCCAACTATTAAAACATTTCTTTTCTCAATGGTTTTTAGATGAAACCAGCCTGTATAAAAGCCCTTACGCGTATATTTAAAATATCGGATCAAGATAATGATGGGGCTCTCAATGATGCTGAGCTCAACTTCTTTCAGGTAGCTGTCTTTTGTTTCAATCATTCGTCTGTCAGCGTTTCTTTGTGGCATAAGCTATAAAAAATATACCCATTGAGACAGTAATATATAAAACTTTCTTTTACATCAGGCTATTGAAGCCATTGCCCATGGTGTAGGACTCTCTTATGCCTAGGAATTGAGGTGGCTCTTTGATAAGTCTCATTTCAGGGTATACAATGGGTGCATTAAGGATGACTTCAAGTCTGAACTCTGAATTATTTTGGTTTCTCAGTTTTCCTATAGCATAACTACACAAAGAGTCCTGGGACTGGGGTGGGGATGGGGGAGTAGAAAAAGTTTCTTTTCCTTCTAATGGCATGTTTTACTTAAATCATATCCAGTGGAGATTATCTCAATTGGTTACATCTTTTGGTTGCATCTCTTTGATTTAATGGTTGTTTTGAAGATTTGTGCTTCATATTATTTTGTGGTTTTAATGCTGATTATTTTTTAATTAATTTTTTATGTTTTTGCTAGAGAATTTGTTTTAACACTCCATTAGCGCCTCAAGCTCTGGAAGATGTCAAGAATGTAGTCAGAAAGCATATAAGTGATGGTGTGGCTGACAGTGGACTGACACTGAAAGGTGGGTACAGATTGGGAGATGAAGGTCCTGTAGCATGACTTCTACTAGAAGGAAATGTATTTGCTAATATGCCTAGAATCTGTCTTGGAGTTTTATAAGACAAGGTCATTGGTGGGATAATTGTCCTTACTGTCAATATAAATTGTTGTTGTTAAATGCCATTGAGTCAGTTCCAACTCATGGTAACCCTGCATAAGGCTCCTGAGGAGTGACTGGTGGGTTTGAACTACTAACCTTGCAATTAGCAGTCCACTGCTGTCCCTGTATAGGGTTTCCGGCTCATAGTGAACCCTGTATAGAGTTTCTAAGGCTGTAAATCTTTGTAGGAGCAGAAAGCTTTATCTTCCTCCCACAGAGCTTCTGATGTGCTTGAACTGTCAATCTTGCGGTTTGCAGTCCAGTGCTTATCCTACAGAATCACTGCATTTCCTTCAGTGTAAATTGTTGTTATTGTTAAGTGTTGTCAAGTTGGTTTCGACTCATAGCGACCCTGTGTAAGGTTTCTGAGAAGGCGCTGTTGAGTTTGAACCCCAGACCTTGTGATTCAAACGACTGCAGTCCATTATCCATCAGCACCACACCAGGATTCCAGTCAGTATAAATTGGACACAGGGAAGTTGGCTGAATCTCAGGCATGTAGAGATCCATTTGAGGGAAGGATACACCTGGAACAGATTTGTATTCAAATTCCTCATACTCAGAAGTAACCTTTAAGAACTTATTTTTAGGAAAAACATTGTGTCAAATATACCAAGTACAAAATGTTCTCTAGAATATATTGTAGAGCCACAGTGAAATAAAAAATGAAATTGAAAACTAAAATTTTCTATTATGGAAATTAGAATAAAGATCTACAGAGCCATTTATTTTTTCTATCATAATTTTATGAATTTCAGTGTACAAGGGTAAGTTAAAAAGTATTGCTATAGGGGTTCCAGTTCATGCATACACAGGTTCACTCCCCTCAAAATGTGTTTAAACATGTCTTTGTGATCTGTGGATGGCTGCAGGCAAGTTCTCTCAGTAATACACTTGTCTTAGTCGTAGTGGTGGTGGGTGGTGGGTGTGTGCCCTGGAGTTGGTTCCAACTCATAGTGGCCCTGTATAGGGGCTTCCAAGGATATAAATTTTTGTAAGAGTAGAAAGCCTCATCTGGTAGATTCGAACTGCTGACTTTGTGATTAGCAGCCCAGCTCGTAATCCACTATGCTACCAGGGCTTAGTCTTGTTAGAGTGCTTTTGAAAAACAAGTCCAAGCAAAACTATGACTTCCAAGGGGATCTGTTGAACCAGTTAAATTCAGAGCAAAGAGGTCAGCTCAGAAGGTTATGGCAACTGATGTTTAGAATTCCAAAGGTCTGATCTTGATAGATTTTCTCAGAGAACACAGGACTGGCATGTGGGCTTATTTTGAAGACATTTTAAGAAAATTGAAAACTGCATTGGTAAGAAAAAAGCCAGAAAAATTGCAACGAAGCATTTTCTTCCTGCTTATTCTACAAGGATAACAAAGACTGTCCTATGAGAATTCCATTGGGAAACCTTACCCTATTCACCCTGCAGCTCTAGTCTTACCCAGAAAGACTTCTTTTTATTCCCAAACTCAAAGAACAAGTTAAAGGTACAGTACGATTTCACTCCCTTGAAGATGCCCAAACTGCCATTTTGACGTGCTGTAGATTGAAGAACACAAAATCCTTCAGAGAAGGGTTAGAGAGATGGAAACACCACCTTCAGAAGTGTATAGACTTAGTAGAAGGAAATGTTGAGTACCAATAGCTTCCACATTTTGATTTTTTATTTAACAAAGGTTTCTGTGTTTTTATAGCAATACTTTTTGTGTTACCCTTGTATTCCTTGGGATGTATTTTTGGCCTTTTGCTAAACTGATTATATATGTGAAACAGTGCTTCTGAAATCAACTCTGTTTCAACAAGACTCTTGTGGAAACTTTGTTTTGTCTCGATTGTCGGTATGCAACACTAGTATACATCGATGGTATTTACCAAAGTAGCTCTTGCTGATATGGGTTGCATACTTTTCTCCCAGGTGACTCTGTGCTTTTCTTCACATCAACTGTATTTACTAATTTACTGTATTTCAGGTTTTCTTTTTTTACACACACTTTTTATTCAGAGAGGGAGACATGAAACTACTTGGACTGTGCTTCGACGATTTGGTTATGATGATGACCTGGATTTGACACCTGAATATTTATTCCCCATGTATGTACCTTTGATTTTCTGATTGATTTCATTTGCTATATGTTTTTTTAAAGTTTGATTTAGCACTTGAGTAGGTAGGCTTCAAGCTACTCAGAAACATTTTAGATTACTAGCTGGGCTTCTCCACCTTGGGATTATTCACATTTTGGATTGACTACTTCTTTGTTGTGGAGGCTGCCCTGAGCAGTGCAGGATGATAAGTGCATCCCAAGATGCAAGTAGCACCTCCTTCCCAGGTTTCATAACCAAAAATGTCTCCACAAATTGTCAAATGACCCTTTGGGCAAAATCATCCCTGGTTACGAGCCACTGATTTATTGAAAAAACCAGTTGCCTTTGAGTTGATTCAAAGCCATGGTTTCTAATATGACTCTTCTCCCAAAGGGTTGTTGTTGTTAAGTGCCGTCAAGTCAATTCTGACCCATAGTGACCCTGTATAGGGTTTCCAAGGAGCAGCTTAAATTTTATTTTACTGAGGAAGGACCAAAAAAAAAGAAATGCTAGACAAACTTGTTTTGATGTCAGGTGATCAGAAATAAGTTGGTTAAGCTCTCCATTCTAGAAGTAAATGCCAAATTATTTAAAGTCACCAAACATATGTTGTTTCCTACTAGAAGCTTTTGTCCATGCTGCTTTCGTCCTTTCCCTCCTCCTTTCCCAACCTAGTTACTGCCTCTCCTCCCTCAATTCATGTGTCAGTGTCTATCAGAGATGTTAGCACCTTACCATCCCCAAGCCAAAAATGTCTCTTTCACATGGGCTCTCTTAGTATCTTTACTCAGACCTAACAGTTGCATCGTTCTGTTTATGGTCAGTTGTGTGGTTTCTGTTTTGGTTTTGTGTCCTTAGTACCTAACTCAATGCGTTTGATAAATGTATGAACTGAATTTAGGGTGGGTCAGGAAGGTCAAATTAGACAGAAGTAACATGTCTTCACATAATTTTCAATTCATCACCAGTGCTGGCACTAATATGTTGTTGTTGTTAAGTACTGTAGAGTCGGTTCTGACTCATAGTGACCCTGCACAGGGTTCCCGAGGCTGTAAATCTTTACAAGAGCAGAACACCTCATCTTTCTCCTGCGGAACAGCTGGTAGTTTTGAACTGCCGACCTTAAGGTTAGCAGCCCGATTCGTAACGACTACACTACCAGAGCTCCTTATAAAAGCCATAATTATGACTTAGAACTTGTGTAAGGGAAAAATAAATACATTGCGGTTTAATCAGCATTATTTGAGATGAGTATTTATTTCAACATGCCCTCCTGATATTTAAGACAACTTTGTGTGTCACCTCATGCATTGGCAATGACCATCATAATGACCTAATGAGGACTGCCATAACCATGCCAGAGACTTTCCCTGGGTGTTTAGATGGCTCTGGTGAAGATATTTTTGTAGCATGTTGTCACCCTGCAAAAAGATTTCTTGCAGTGTTAACATTCATTTCTTAAATTAAATTTTAGTATTTGATTATTTTATTCTTAAATTCTTTCATCAACAGGCTAAAAATACCTCCTGATTGCACTACTGAATTAAATCATCATGCGTATTTGTTTCTCCAGAGCACCTTTGACAAGCATGACTTGGTAAGTTTGAGCTGCCATTTTCCATTCTGACTGGCAAAACATTTTTGTGAGTGATGTAACTCGGTTTCCTTAGCTATGGGATGCTCATGTTACATCACCGAAAAATTGCTCACTTTTAAGTTAAATTGCAAAATTATTTTCTGCTATTTGTTTCTGGTTTCTTTTCTCAAGATGTAAAAGCCTTATCTCTAATAAGACTCTTTGATAGGTTTTGCACATATTTTCTTGTTAAAATGTAAAATGTGTTTTCATTTACTAATTTGTTTCTAGAAGCATAGCTTTACTAGAGGATATTTTAACATTATGTATACTTCTTGTGTATCTTCAGGATAGAGACTGTGCTTTGTCACCTGATGAGCTTAAAGATTTATTTAAAGTTTTCCCTTACATACCTTGGGGGCCAGATGTGAATAACACAGTTTGTACGAATGAAAGAGGCTGGATTACCTACCAGGGATTCCTTTCTCAGTGGACGTGAGTAGAGAGACCACCTCTTTCCCTTAGAGTTACAGTCAGTTGAAAATTGCAATGCTTTACATTCATAATTGCGAGCTTATCATATTTTACGAAATGCTTCAGTCCTAACTGCCTGTGTGCAGGACTTGTAGTGCTGCTAATACCTCTAAGATTAACTGCAGATATAATCAGGAATGGATGTTTGATTTTGGATGGTGTACATGAAACAGTGATAAATCTTACATAGAAACCAAAGTAGACTTTAGTACTTTTGTGTTTGTTTAAGGAATAGGAAATGTCACTGCTATTGCACAGTTGTTAGACTTTCAAAATAGGGAGAGAAGCATATTTTACTTTACCCTGAAGAGTTGCCTTAAAGGTTTAGTTTGTTTTACTCTCAGTAAGACATAGGATTTGTTTGCAGTCTATACTTATAGCTTAGTTGGTACTGTGCCCTAGGATGCTAAAGATCTTGCATCATAGCATTATTACTTTAACCTTGGTAAGACTAATTTTTTAACACTAAAATCTCCCCTCCCCCCCTGCCCAAATACATTAGATAGGCTTACTAATCTTATACCTTTTGTTATTTGTTACCTTTAGCAAACTTTTTTTAGATTCTTGAATTAATCATTAAGTCTTCAACTAGCCAGTATTTGCAAGACACTGTTCATCACTTGGGAAGTAGATAATATAAAATATCCTTTCTCTAAATTTTGCAAAAGTATACCAAACACTCGTCTAGGTGACCTTGCTCCTTTGGGGTAGGTAGAGAAGATATAGAAGTCCCCTTCTCCATTTTGCATTCTCTTCTCAATCTTATCTGGCTTAAGAATGGTGGCAGTTCAGGAAAAGCCATGGCTGGAGACACATGGAAAATCAAAGCAGTCCGACAATAACTGTCTAATGGAAAATCATTTGTGCTGTTGAAATTTTTTTCCCTGTTCATTTTGGAACGTTCACATTTTAAAATCTCTTTTTCCTAGACTCACAACCTTTTTAGATGTACAGCGGTGCCTAGAGTATTTGGGCTATCTAGGCTATTCAATATTGACTGAGCAAGAGTCTCAAGCTTCGGCCATTACTGGTAAGTATTAGAGTACTCTTCAGTTTCTGATTAGAAATCTTTTTTAAGATTATAGATTCAAAGAATGAAAATAAACTCATCTTCGTTAGTCTTCCATGTCTACCTTCTGTTTTCCTCTTGATTTGGTCATTTCTTTTGAGTTGAGATACTTGGTTTTATTTATCAAAAAAGAGAGAGTAGAGGCTTTGCTTCTGTCTACTCCCTGGAGTGCTCTAGTAATGAAGATGAAAGAGCATTTTGGACATTAGAAGTATTTATGAGTCCATCTGACATTTTACTTTTCTTTAAACATTAAAACAATTCATGTTGAATAGATAAACAAAAATGTGGTGTGTCCATGCAATGGAATATTATTCAGCCAGAAAGAGACGTGAAAGTCCTGAGAGCTACTACAACATGAATGAACATTGAAGATACTCAACTAAGTGAAGTAAGGCACTAAAGGACAAATACTATAGGATTTGACTTATATGAAATAGCTAGAATAGGCAGGTATGTGGAGACTAAAATGTATTAGTGGTTACCAGAAGTAGGAAGGAAGGGACAAGAGGGAAGCATTGCTTTGGAGCATTGAGTGTTTATTAATGGTGATAGAAATTTTGGTATGGTGATAGTTGCATGGCATGATTAATGCAATCAGTGTCACTGAATGATAAACCTAAAATATGTTGAATTAACAAATGTATGTGTATTTACCATAAATAAAAAATTCATGTTAACAAATGATCCTGTCTTACAGCAATTGGCAGTCTCTCAGCTCTATAACTATTTGCAATTAATAAAATTTCATAGATTTTATAATGCAAACTTAGGCATTCTTGCTACAACAGTGCACTTCGCTTAAATAAAACCCCTAGGTATGGAAGTAGCAAAGTAGGGGACTGGTCATTTCAAGAGTTTCATATATTCCATTTGGTGGGAAAGCTGCCATATCTTACAAGATACCAAACAAAAAGGAGATAGTCTTTCTTAAACTGACAGTACCCTTTAAAATACTTAACCAATTAAACTAGATAGTGTTTAATTCAACACCTAAGAGTAAAAAGCTAATTGCTACCCAGCCCTGATGTTCTTTTAATCAGCAACATATAGAAGACATCTTTCTGTATCAATAAGTATACTTTTTTACTTTTTAATAATGTATCATCATGTTCTATACTTTAATCAGTGTTTCCACAATTATTGTATATTTTTATCATTTTCAGTTTTTTGTCTCATTACATAGTGCCTCTGGTGAGCTTTGTTGTAGTTAAATCTTTGGGTCCAGCTTAAAGGAGGTCTATTTACTTCAGGTAGAGAGAGACTCTCCATTGTCCTGATGAGACACCATTGTTTTCTTCGGACCCACTCATTGACAGATTTACATTCAAAAGACCAGTTACCTCTAGAATGCACATCCCTTTCCCATTTATAGATCCAGCTCCAAGTGAGTGCAAATTGTATACAGCATTTTTTTTAGTATGCAATTTTTATGATGTTTGTCATAGGAAAAATAGATGGGATAAAATGTTGGCCGTATTCATTGTCATTTTCATTCATTGTTAGGCTATCATTTTCCTTATGAAAATGTAAGACTTATTTTGTAATGAAGTAAATATCATTTGGTTGCTAGAAGTTCACTTTCCAGCCCACTTTCAGAAATGTATCTTTTTCACTAAGTGAAGCCCTTCTGTATTATATTAAGAACTTTATTTTATATACAACTTGACTATTGTACAATATGCTCATAGATTACATGCTTCATAGAAGTGATAAATAACAATACTCTTTTGCAGAAAGTAAAATGAGTGCATTTAACTGGAACATACTTAGCAGGTTTCCCCCCCCCCCCCCCTTTTTAGTAACAAGAGATAAAAAGATAGACCTTCAGAAAAAACAGACTCAAAGAAATGTATTCCGATGTAATGTAATTGGGATGAAAAGCTGTGGTAAAAGTGGAGTTCTTCAGGCTCTTCTTGGAAGAAACTTAATGGTAAGAGGTCTCAGATAACAATACATTTTTATAATTTTGTGCTTTTGTAATTTTTTTCTTTGCTATTAACCTTTTTAGATGATTATTAGAATCAGTGACTTACATAACTATATTTTTGTTTCTTTTGTTTCATTGGTGTTAGCTATCATTAGTCGTTTTTTTCTTAACCACTTTTTAGATAAGGATTAAACAAATACACTTGTAAAGACTCCTAACACAGTGCTTGACAGGAAGTAAATGCGTAGTAAATACTGTGAGCTGAATACCGATACCTAGTTCTGGCTCCTCCTCTGATTTCCCCATGAGACTCCTAGCAGACAAATTAGAATATTATGAAGAACTGTCAGCAGCTGACTGGATTACACTTTCAGTAATGTTTTTTGGTTTTTTTTCTTTTCAGCTTTTGCTTTCATTTTAGGCAGAACAAATTCATTTTATGTCTTAATGCCCTGAGAATTAAGAAATATAAATTCAATATTGGCAAATAGTACATTGTGTAGGAGAAAATGCCCCTTTAATTTATAACATACACACACAAGGTATGTGTGTTAATGAAAACTTGTCACTAAATTTCTTACTGTAAATATTGAGATTTTCTATTCTATTTTCAGAGGCAGAAGAAAATTCGAGATGATCATAAATCGTATTATGCAATTAATACTGTCTATGTGTATGGTCAAGAGAAATACTTGTTGGTAAGAGATTTCTGACATACAAAGATGGCTAATTGTTAGGAACATTTTTAAATGATTGGAACCATTATTGGGTTGAGCTTTATGACTACATGTAGAATTTTTGTGTAATTTCTCACATGGTTTATTTATTAGAATTCTAATACCATTCATTTAGGTGGTGATTGTTGTTGTTAAGTGTCAAGTAGGTTCCAACTCTTAGCGACCCTGTATAAGGTTTCCGAGGAGTGACTGGTGAGTTCGAACTGCCAACCTTGCAGTTCAAACTAATCTTGTGGTCCAGTTCTTATCCTACCTACAGCACTATACCAGATTATATGACTTTATATGTGAGTGCTTCGAAGAGATCATGAAAAAATTCCATCATTTAAAAAAAATTCCATTGCTCAGCTATATTAGTAAAAGTAGGCAGTTTGTGCACTTAACTATATATAAGTTATAGCTCAGTAAGAAAGTAAAAACTCCAAAAACTTCCTCTTTATTGTTTCCTTCATCTCTATTTAAAAAATACATTTCTTTTACTACTGACTAGATATTAATATGAAAGGCTTAGTGCAAGTGCTTAGTAATTTATCTGTAATCTGAATAGAGTTTTATCTGTTTGACAGGGGATAGGTGGGATATATAGGTAGCTCATGTGATTGCCTGAAAGACAGGTATGGCTGAAAAGGTATAAATTCAAACCAGATTTGGATTTGAACTCTTCTCCTCCATTGAATAGCTATATAACCTCGGACAAGTGCTTTGCTCTACATATAAGTCAACTAATATGAGAAACTTCTAGTAAATAATAGGTACTAAAAAAAAGTCCATTCTTTTTCCATATCTTTTAGAAAAAGACTAAATCTTTAATTGATTTAATCTGTAAATTATGATCACATTGAGTTTCATTCTTTATAATGAATGTTCCTTGTTAGTTTCCTATTAAACCTTGTTTGTCTCCCACTGCCACCGGATCAATTCTGACAAGCAGTGACCCTGTAGGATAGAGTAGAACTGCTCCCAAGCTTTTTGGAGACTAGAAATCTTTACAGGAGCAGACAACCTCATGTTTCTGCTGAGGAGCGATTGGTGGCTCTGAACTACCAACCTTGAGGCTAGCAACTGAGTACTTAACCCACTGTGCTACCATGGCTCCTTACATATTTTTTCTGCTTTCTTATTTTCAGCCTATTCCTTCCAAACTGTTATCTTTCTTATCTCTGAATATATATGCTGTAATAGGATACATTGAGTCATCTCTCACCCTACATTTTTCCCTTTATTCTTCTCATGAAAGATGTACTATCTTAGACAATTCAGTACTGAATTTTACTCTTGTTGGATCATTATATTATAGATAGAGTATATCTTTTTTTAAAATTGTGAATTGAGTGGTTTACAGGGTAGATTATCAGTTTTACATTCAACAAATCATTGCAATAATTACAATCACCTCCATGCACCATAGCCAGCAGTATTTACCTGTTAACCTATTTTTTTTATGTACCCATACCACATTGGAAATATATATTTGTTTAAATGTCCAAAGAGCACATTTTGCAATTCAGCCTCCTGTCCACAGGCCACTGCCTCCCTCAGTCCATGGGCCTGTAATCCTCTGCTGCTCTATCTCTCTGTACCATTGTCTCTGCCACCATCTGTTGTCACCTCTTTTCTGATCAGGATCCCTTGCTCCTCTCATGCTCTTCTCTTTTGAGGGTTCTCTGTTCCTGAAATAACAGATTAATTACTCCTCCCTTTAGTTACACCTCTTCTATATTTACAGTTGTTATTAGTCCTGAAAACAGTTACTCACAATTGAATCATAAAATACTATCCTCATCATCACCAGACCCATCTGGACAAGAGGAAAACTATTCAGTAGGGATTCTATCTTACTCACCGTGCTCTGACACTAAGCACCCTCATGAAAGCTTGTAAGCCAGACACTTTGTGCCTTTATAGCCCCCCAGTTTTGATAGCCAAAGTCTAATAGATGGAGTGTATCTTAAAGTGGTTCTGTAATAAACATTGAAAAGAAGAGGTAGAGAAGTAGAATAAAATGACCTTCAGTGTCAAGAGCCATTTGTTTTGTGTATTTTATTTGTGGGAGAAAAGATGATACAGAAGAAAGGAAATAAACTTGTGAATCATATCTGAGTTCAAGTTTGGTCCAGTGAATTGTCAGATGTGTTATCTGTGGCGGTTGGCATAGTCTCACTGAGTCTTTTTCCTTTCCTGACGATTATGCATAATGCATATGTAGCACCTGCCTAACACACCTGGGTCACTCACTAAATGTTAGCTTCTTTAGACCCTAAAGCACTAATTTTGAACCATAAAATAAGAAGCTACTTGTTTATGTATACTTACTACTTTAATAATAATAATAAAAATGTCTGCAAAAGTATATTTAACTGCTGTCCTTTTATCAGGAGGTCAGGTTAAACAAGTGGTAAAACATCATGACTTTACACATCACTGCTGTGATACTGTTGATTCTCATTATCTGTTTTGTTTTGTTTGTTTTGCAAGTTGCATGATATCTCAGAATCGGAATTTCTGACTGAGGCCGAGATCGTTTGTGATGTTGTGTGCCTGGTTTATGACATCAGTAATCCCAAATCCTTTGAATACTGTGCCAGGATTTTTAAGGTTTGTTTCTCTTTATGGTCTTGGATTAAATTTAATTTTATATGGAGTTTGTTGTTGTTAAGTGCCATTGAGCTGATTCCGACTCCTAGTGACGAGTGGCTGGTGGATTTGAACCGGCAACCTTGTGGTGACTAGTGCTAAGTGTTGTCAAATTGGTTCTGACTCATAGTGACCCTGTATAGGGTTTCCGAGGAGCAGCTGATAGGTTTGAACTGCTGACCTTGTGGTTCACAGTCCAGTGCTGACCCTACAGGCCACACCAGGACTCCATAGAGTTTAGTGGCATTATAAGGTGATGTGTTCTCACCAGGGAAAGGCAACAGAGTCATTTTAGAGTTTTAAAAAATTACGTATGTCTGTACCCTACCCTAAAGGTTCTGATTTGGTGTTGAAGTGCCAGAATTCCAGATAGCTATTTAAAAAAAAAAAAGACTCCATGTGATTCTGTGTGCATTTCTGGGTAAGACGCTCTTGCCCATTATGAATGGATCAGGGTTATATATTGCCAGTTAAACCAAGAATGACAGCCAGAGCAAGGGGATAAACCAATCTCTCTGAAATTATTGATAAGATTCAAAAGTCATAAAAGGCTATATATATAAACATTTATTCTAGCATGTTTTAATAGCAAAATATTAGAAATTATTTAGCAATAGAAGAATGGTTTACTACATTAAGTTAAAATAATCCAGTTGAATATTCAGCAGTCATTTCAAATGATAGGTTTTAATTATGAAGAACATGGAAGATACACTAGTACATTTTTATATGGTTATGTTCAGCATGACTGCAACTGTGTAAAACATATAAATGATGTGTTAAGACTAGAGACTTGAGGTAATAAGAAAAAAGCAGTCTTCTTTGTGATAGAGGAATTTAGGTGGATTTCTTTTCTTTACAGTTTTTTAAATTATATCTTTTTAATAAAAAATATATGTGTTTTCAAATTGTAGTGAATCTGGAGAGTTAATATAGATCTGTTCTGTTGTCATTAGGAAAACAGTGCTGCTCATAGTTATTGTATGAAGAGCATCCTGGGCCACTGCTTGTTTGTGTGTCTTGGTTTACTTTCTCTCTTTGAAACTATTGTTGCTTTGCCCATCCAGAAAGGAGTTTTGATAGTCATCAGATTTTTATTATAGTTATTTATTTATTTGTTTCTTTTTAATGCAGCAGCACTTTATGGACAGCAGAATACCCTGCTTAATTGTAGCTGCAAAGTCAGACCTGCATGAAGTTAAACAAGAATATAGTATTTCACCTACAGATTTCTGCAGGAAACACAAAATGCCTCCACCACAAGCCTTCACTTGCAATACTGCTGATGCACCCAGTAAGGATATCTTTGTTAAATTGACAACAATGGCCATGTACCCGTAAGTACTTGCTATGCCTTCATTTTCATGTTGCATGATTCATAATAACATTGCATGCCATTCTTAGCCATGAGGGTGGAATCTTTGTCACATAGAAGTTGTTCAGCAACAGAAAGAGACTTTGTGATGAGAAGGTACAAATTTGAGTAAATCTGTGTTGGTTGTCATATAAAATGATATAAACAGTGCTTCTGAGAATATTTGTATATTGTTGAGCAGACTGTAATTATTTTTATTGCTTAGTTACAATAAAAACAAAGTCCTTATCCCAGCCCCTCAAAGAGGACAAAAAGTCTTCCTGTACTTAAATGGGGTTGGCATCATGTTGTTTTATGCTTTTAAAGCATTTCCATATGAACAAAAAAATCATCGATATAGTTTTCTATTGATTAATTGACCTTGGATAGATGAAGGATTCTTAAATCTTTTGTGAATTGATGTTTAAATTATGTTTATATTTGAATTCAGAATATATTTTTAAAATAACGTAAAGACGGATTATAATTGGGATTTCTACTTTGCCAGTGTTACATTAAGTCTTATGAGCCACAAGTTTCATGTACATTTATTATATATCTATACATGCATATGCACAAGTACATAACTGTGGTCATCTTGGTAGTTTACTAACTACCTTAAAACTGCATGGTTCTTAATGACATTCTCTTAAAGTCGTGTGTTGTGTAAATTCTGTTTTGTAACAAGATAATTTCTCAGGCAGTGCGTTTCTCAGGACTACAGCTTATTCAATTATTATGTTAGTCTCTAAATTATTTTGCATCCTAAGAAAATTACGGTATAAATAGAGTAATAGTCAAACATTGCTACAAACCAAGACTGAGGGTTTTTTCCAGAAAGGTATTAATTTTCCAGGTTTTTTAAAATCAAAGAGTTAACTTTACGCTATTCCATTAGCTGATATTTTTTTTTAAATGTAGCAAACCCTTGAAGTTCTAGTTGTATAATAGTTGGAAAACAAGGCATTCCTATTAATACTATATAACAAACACAACCTTATTTATGCTTTTACTGTTGCTTTAAAACTCTCGTGTATGTTATCTGCAGAGAGAATCATTACAGAGACAGACTCTCCCGAGACTTGGGCAACACTGATAGAATAGAGAATTTGAGAAAAATCTGGGTCTTTCTAAAAACTGCTTTGTAAGTTACTTTTTCTTTATGGCTTCTGTGGGATTTTGTTGACATTTTATAGGATTACCAAATCTCCTTTCTTAACATAATTAATGTTTACATAATTATCCAGAAACGCACTGCTTGGTCACTCTCGCTGCCTAACTGTATATTATGGTGTGTTTTTTATTATGTAAATGTGCTATTTTAATCTTGTAAATAGCTGCAACTGTGTTCATATGTATATATGCAGCCTTAAAATATTTTACTGTAATTTTTGTTTGTGTGTGTGTATGTGTGTATATGATAAATGTACATACATGAACACTTGTTTATATGGTTGATCCCGAATTACTTCTCATGAAGCATCTCCCTGTTGCTAAGCATACTTTGTATTCCTCCTTTTGGTGGGTGGAGCCTTGTGTATGTTGAAGAGTCTGATTCAATTGATAAAACAACAGATAAATTCCAGTATGACAGCTGACAGTGCCTTAATGGTAGTGATATGCTCATCATTTCAATCAAGCTTTAAAAAACGATGTCTTGAGCCTGTCAAAATTTGTTTTTTGTTTTTTGTTTTTTTAATTAATTGTCTTTCTTCATGTTGGGAACTAGGCATTGTTAAGATGCTGCTATTTCCACAGCCATGCCACTGTGTGCTGTGATCTCATCAGATCTCACAAACTAAAACAAGTCAGATTGGGTCAGTCCTTTGACTGAGAAGTCTCTAAAAATGTTCAGCTGTTAGAGGAAGTGATGGCATTGATTCATCTGGTGGCACTTTTTGGAGTGTGTTCTGTGCCAGGACCTCATCGTGGGTGGTGTGATGGCCTTGTATATTTGAGTGGCTCTGACCACTGTACAGTCATTCAAGACCCTTACTTTGGTTGTTAGGGCCCCATATGCCTGCACCAAGAAATGTAACTCCACTCAACCAGAAAGGAGTCAGAAAGCCTCCCTAAATTCCTTCTAATTTTAATTGGATCCATTGGTGGTTTTCACATCGTTACTCAGAGTTTCATACTATCATACTTAGCTGCTGTGTTTTGATAGCAGATGAAATTAACCCTGTATTTCATTCAAGTGGAAATTTATGAAGCACTTTGCTTTCCTTTGGGAGCCAGGTTGCTTGATGAATTAAAGACGATGTTGTTCATATCTCCTCAGGGTTGAATATACTCGTCTTTTGACTCTTGTGTATTTGTCATTCTTCTCCTTCCTGGTTTCCAGGCATGTGTGTATACCAAGGGAGGAGGAGGAGAAGAGGAAGATGAGGGAGTGGCTATTTAAATCTTAGCAAAGTGTGTCTTTTGGTTGGGTGCTATGGCTTAGTCTTTTTTTAATATATATAAATGATTTAGATGAGGGTGCCATCTATTGCTGTGCATACTTATTCCACCAAAACTCTTACAATAAGAATTCCCTCTTTCTCCTCCCCAAAAAAGCTTTAGTTGATTTTCTCTAGATTTTGTTATAAGAGGGAGTAGGGAGCAATTCATTTTGATAAATGTGGAATTATGCACAGCTATAGCATGCCCCACACTATCCGTTTCCTTTTTACAAAAAGTGTTGCTTATGCCTAAATCTTTTTCTTTTTTTTTAAGTTGGCACACCCTAACTTGTGCCATATTTGGAAGTAAGAACTCAACTCCTGTCCTTCTGTGTGTTTTCGCAGCCATGCCCGGTTACGCTGTATGTGCACCTGCAACAGGTGTACATTTTGCATCTGTCAGAACTTCCTCAACTCAGACTTGCTGCAATCTGTAAAGAACAAAATCTTCACTGCAGTTCTTAACAGGTTCTTAACTTTATTTACTGGGTACCAGGCATTCTGTTAAAATACAAAAGAAAAAGGTGGCTAACTATTTGTTACACAGATGCTCACTACAAAGACGCCAAGCTGACTGATGCCCAACTTAGTTCCACTAAAATTCTCACTGTGATGACAATGTTTAGTTTTAGAATCATCCTTAGTAAGTAATGCATTTAGATTAATAGGTATGGCTACGAGGCTTGAATTAAGATTTTGGATTTTTTTTTTTTTTTCATTAACGAAGTTAAAGTATGTTTCACATTAGAAGGTAACACATGTAGGGAGATTAGCATTTTTACTTATGAGTTGTAGAAATAAATTTGGTTATTTGTGCAAGAAAAAGATAACCTGATCCTAAGTAAAACATCCTGTTATATTTTACCCAGTTTGTGTTCAAATAATGAATCTTACTAAAACCTTACTAATGTTGTATGTTCACTAATAATTTGTTACTAGTATTTTGAGTTTAGAGGGAAAAAAAAACTGTTCTTGAAACCATTTATAATCAAAATCTGATTTTACTCTTTAAGTACCTAAAATGTTTATTTGAGAAAGCATGGTTTCTGGAAATTAAAATAATAGCATTTTAAGGATTCAAAGGAATATGGAAAAGAAAAGATCTGTAGAAACAACTACAGTTTTTGAAGTCTTTACAATTGATCCCAAAACATGAAGTATACCTATAAATTAATGAACTTTTTAAAAAGAAAGAAAGAACGAAAAAGATAAAAGAAAATAGTATGTGTATATTCCCTCAAAGTAACGAACTTGGAAGGTTATATTATTCTTCTGGTTAAGTTACCCTTGTAAGACCAGTCTTACATTTTTGAGCATTCAAGAACCTATGTAATATTAATTTGCATTTGACATGAGATTTTTATGTGTCTAAGAATGAATTAGGTTTTCGAAATTAGATGTCCTTAGAAACTAGACTTGATTAAGATAGATAGACGATCAACCTAAATAATAGATTTGCATAAGGAATAGGTTATTTTGGTTCACCATTGGACACTGACTCGTTGACTAGATAGGCACCAGCTGTACCAAGTGAATAGGAGCACATCAACATTATACAGATGTCCTTATGAAATAACGACACTGTATCTTACGTTCGTCAAAAACTGACTTTGAGGTATTCTGAAAGGCTTTCAGATGTGCTTTGAACAGAGCAGTCCTGTAGACTAAGAATACAGCCGTCTCAGGTGACTGCTTTGAAGGGATCAATCACCACACACTTTTGGTGATAGCATTCTGCTGTTCTTTGTATGGAATCCTATAAAGTAATAACCCCAGGCCTTCTCTGATGATGACTCACTGAGCAAATGCAAGGCTAGTTCAAACCAAACAATGTCCTGGAGCTCAGGTGTTAGGAATCTTAGAGTTGGAACAGATTCTGTAATTCAAATGGCCTAACCTTCCAGTAAAGAGCTCAGGTAGTGTAGTGGTTATGAGTTGAGCTGCTAACCGCAAAGTCAACAGTTCGAAACTATCAGCTGTTCTGCAGGAGAAATATGAGGATTCTGCTCCTGTGAAGATTTACAGCCTCAGAATCCCTGTTCTGAGTCGGAACCAACTCTATAGTACACCTTCCGGTAGAATGCCGCCTGCAGCCTTCTTGAGAGAGTGCTATTTATCTGCTGACAACTTTCCTCATTAGAGAGGGTTTTTATATTTGGTCTTTGCTTTTTTTTTTTTTTTTTTAACTAAAATTATATTTTCCCTACAACTTTCTCTCCTTTAGTTTTAGTTCTACCCTTTAGAACAACATCCGACCATTCTGCTCCCTGTTCAGCATAGCAATCCTTCAGACATTTGAAGATGATCATCAAGTCTCCCCTAATTTCTCTTCTCCAGGTAGAACATCTCCATTTCTTTCAGCCCTTTTTTACATTAAATGGCTTAGTGACATCATCACTCCTGGTTGTCATCTGAATGCCCTTTAGGTTTTCAGAGTATCTCTTAAAAGGTACCACTGGAAATGGGCCAATGCTCGAGAATTGGTCTGACTGGTCCAGACCACAGTGGGCATCATGTCCACAGTTAGGACAGCATCAGTCTGCTGCACGGATCCATGTCCCCCTGCTGACATATAAATTTCTTGGTCAATTGAAACGGATTTTTTTTTTTTTTTCACATATTAAGCCAAAATGTCCCTTTTTCTCTAAATGTGTTTCACATTTTTAGTTGACTCCTTGAATCTAAATGCAGGATTACATATGAATCCCAAATAAATGTCATATTCTTCCTTTGGACCCATTTGTTGTAGTTCAGTCATTTCAAACTTCATTTCTGTCATTTGTCCCACTATGTAGCACTCTTAGCATTGTGGTATTTACAAATGTGGTAAACATACCTTCTTTATCATCCAAGTTGCTGGTTAGAAATAGTATTGAATACTCAAACTGAAGCTCAAGGAAGAGAGAGTGTGAGCGTGTGCTGAAAAGAGCAAGCCGTGTAGTACTCTTCTAGAGAACTCTTCCTGATAACACAGGCTCAATATTCTTGCGGAATTTTTCACTTAATTAAAAATGCATTATTATCTAGCCTGCATTTTATCTTACTGTCAGGGACTTCATGAAGGACTTTTCTATCACATCCTCTGATCTACCAATATAGTATTTTTGTCTAAAGAGGAAGTGATGTATTTTTGGTCTCTCAGCAACAACAAATTCTTGGTGAAAGGAGCCTTGGTAGTATAGTGGATTACTAGCCGGGCTAGAAACCGGAAGGTGAGTCATTCAAATCTACCAGTCACTCCCAGGAGGAAGATGAAGCTTTCTGCTTCCATAAAGGTTTACAGCCTTCAGAAACCCTGTACAGGCTCACTTTGAGTCAGAACCCACTTGGTGGCATACCTCCACCACCACTGCTCTTGTGAATCCACCTTGGATCCTAGTAACTGCTGCTCACAAACCACTTATTTTATTATTTATGGTAGATGCTCTCCATTGCCCATACTTGCAGATTGACTCATTGTGTCTTTGGTGACAACAGTTCTATTCCTTGTCTGTTTAGTCAGCTTCCAAATGAAATAGGTTGTATGTGCATCAGATGGATTCGTTTGCTCTGTGTAGTGATCCTTGAAGATAAGTCAGTGCATTTGTTGTGTGCATCCTAAGAGTAACTTAATGAGGATGTCAGCACATGTCACTGATATCTAATAATCAAGAATAGAAAGAAAGAAATAGATGAAGCTGAAAACCAGTGGATCTTTTAAAGAACTCCTTGCTGACCTCTGTAAATACTTAGATCTTTTCTCTGATAGAAGTACAGTGGAATTTTAGTTGTGTATTGAAACTTTTTCTCAGTTTATAAAAGTATATAGATAAAGTAAGTGGTGGCAGGGGCCAAAAAGTCAAAGCCTATGGTCTTGCATAGATAGCGTAAATGAATAAGCAAAAGAAATAGGAATAATAAGGAAATAAGGCCAGTTGTTGTAGAGGATTCTATCAGAATTTTTATGTGAAACTTCCTGATAATTAAATAATGGAAATTTAAAATATTTTAAATACTAATCAAAACAAATAAAGCATGTTAACAGGCCACCAGTTTGTACCTAACTCTTCAGGTATGGGCTAGAGCTGTGATCATACCACCCAACAAAGGACTTGCTGGGAATGAAAATGAGTCACTGCCTCCTCAACATTTTACTCACTTCCCATGAAAAATTCAGAGTGAGAAAGGAACTGGCTTTCCCTGTTATTTTTTGGGAGCTGGTGCTATCAGATAAGCACTGCACTGCTAACCGCTAGGTTGGTGGTTCAAGCCTACCAGCTGCTCTGTGTAAGAAAGATGAGGCTGCTCCTGTAAAGGTTTAGTCTCAGAAATTGACTGGATGGCAGTGGGTGGTGTTGGTTTTTCACTTCTCTGGACTTAGTTCCAGTGCTGGACCTATCAATGTTGTATAAGCAGAAAAGGATTAACTAATTGAGTGAAAGTTCTTTAAGAATTTTGTACTGTATTTCAGTAGGGAGCATTCCCATTCAGCACTAAATCTAAAGTCTTGGTTTTGAGAAATCATCACTGCCATGCCTAGTGTTTGATTTAGAACTATGAAAGGATAGTACTAAACCACTTGTCATTTTTATTAAAGTGAAATGTTTCCCTAAATGTCTGCAAAGACCAAATATTGACGTATAATCTACTGGTCACAAATAAGCGCATCATTTTAGTGAGCTTGTAAAATGTATGGTCACAAAAATAGAAATTACTTCCAGAGATGATCATTTTTGAGGCCATATTTTACCTTTTTTGCATAACAACCCCTACCTTAATTTATTCATTCAGAAATACTATGTATGCTTCAGATAGGAACTGGCTGGAAGCTGGGCAGAATGTGAAGATGGAGACAATACAGTACCTGCTTTTTAAGTCCCTTTCTAAATACTATGCTGTTGCTGTTGTTAAGTGTCCATGAGTCGATTCTGACTCACAGCGACCCTGTGTAGAGTTTTAGAGGAGCATCTGGTGGGTTTAAACCACCAGTCTTGCAGTTAGCAGTCCAGTGCTTATCCTACAGTATCACAACAGGACTCCTTTAAATACTATATCATCTAAAAACATTAAACCTTTGACTATATCTTCAGTGACGTCAGTCCCTCCTGCTAAATCAGAAAAGTGCTGTACAGGGGACTTCAAAAAGTTTGTGGAAAATTGAGTTGAAAGATAATGGAGTTTCTCCACAAACACTTTGAAGCCACCTGATATAACCTGATCATGATAAGGTTTAAGGTTAATTAATTTACTTATAATTACGAACTTTCAAGATTCATTTCTGAAACTGTTCATCTCCCCCCACCACCGCCCCAAGCTATTGTTCCACAGAAAAGATGGTCTCTTCTTTTGAGTTTATTTATGGACATTATGTATTTTAAGTCACAACTAGTAATAAATCCTTTTTTTCTTTCCAGTTTAGTGTGTACTGACTTTAGCATGTGAGAGAAGTGTTAGACTACACAATAGATATCTATCTTTCTTAGAGGTAT